TCTAATAACAATTGGGGATGAAATTTTTCGGAATTTTGAATCCCTTACTGAAGTCCATTTTCCAAGTACACTCAAATCAATTGGTTTCGCAGCTTTTGCGACATGTCGGATCAAAGAATTGCATTTTCCAAAATCATTGACAACAATTGAAGATCGTTCGTTTTGTCAATGTTGTTCTTTGACTAGCGTCACATTTGAGTCTGATTATCTTGATTTTGGTAATTTTAGCTTTTCTAGATGTTCTGATCTTCAGAAGTGTATTTTTGTTGGGGAATCGATACCACTTGAAAAATATGGATTGGATAATATGGGACTTTCAAAAAGTCGAATTGGAAAAAGAACATTTGATGGATGTAGTAATTTAAGTGAAGTGATATTGCCCGAGAGAACTTCTATCATTGAAGACGATGCGTTTAGTTATTGCCAATCTTTGAAAACGATTTATCTTCCCCGATGTTTAGAAAAAATCAGTCGGAGTGCTTTTTATTATTGCGAAAATCTTGAACAAGTAAAAATTCCAAACATCAATGACCCCAAAAAATTTGTTGCACAATTTCCAGACAATTTGAAACAAATTGAAAAATGTGCGTTTTATAATTGTGATTTTCAAAAAGTTGTTTTTGGAGAGAAAATTGAATACATCGGAGACTACGCATTTAAAGATAACGCATTTTTGAATGAAATACTTTTCAATTCCAATAAGAAAGTAACACTTGGAAATGCCGCTTTTAAAAATGCACAAGTAACTGCAATAATTACTCAAAAAGACCGCAAAGAGTGGAGTATCGATTTTGGAGAACATTCGTTTGAAGATTTAGTCAATCTCATTAGCTTCCCATTTCCTAATATAGTCTCTGCTTTCGCTTCATATTGTTTTGCAGATTGCTCAAATTTAAAAGAAATTATTGAAGTTTGTGGTGTTGGTGAAATTGGGAAATTTGCGTTTTTCAATTGTTCATCAATTTCTTCAGTACGAATAGAAGGGGCCGTTGACATTCTTGGAGATGGGTGCTTCAAAAATTGCATTTCACTTGTTTCAATAACATTACCAAGCAATTTACGAGTTATTAGAGATGAGAGTTTTGAAAATTGTAGTAAACTCTCAGTATTTGATATGCCACAATGTGTCAATCATATAGGATATCACGCTTTTATGAATTGTGTTTCTCTTCCTAATTTTAAAATTAATGAGAATACGATATTTCTAAGTATGGGATGTTTATGTGGATGTACTCAACTCGTTAACGATAATAACATTCCAAAAGAATGTTTCGATTAATTCACAATTGGTTAATAATTAACTTGATTTTTTTAACCCAATTTCTTGAGGTTTTATAAAATAAAAATATGACACAAATTGCTGAAAAAAATTGTTTCCCTCATGCGGTTTTATTAGAGCTGAATTTTTAATTCAAATATAAAAATATTTATGTATTAAAATATAGCTCTAATATAAATTATTTGTAACTTTTATGGAAAAAATGTATTTTTATTCTTTCAAAACGAACTTCCACAAAAAGTTTAATAAGAAGGATAAACTATATTTTATTATAAATTAACCATTCCATTTATTTCCATAATTGCTTTCACAAAGAATTTCACAATATCAATCAAATTTTTGCAAAAAACACATATAAGAACAATTTAATTAAAAAAGTGATAAAACCAATTAAACTGTAATATTTTTCAGTAACATTTATTAACTTAATTTTTAATGTATAAAATAATTATGAAAAATTTTCATAATAGTAATTCTAATTGTGAAGTTTTCTATACAAACGAACTGCAATAATCATGTCACTAGACAAATCAATTGACTGCAAAACTATCACATTACTTCAACAAACATTAGGAAAATTGTGTATGGACTGGTTTTTTACATTTCAAGAAAAAAGTGATGTTGTTTACTCGACGCATTCAATGTTTTTAGCATTCTCTCTGTTGTATTTGGGTGCTGAGGGAGAGACAAAAAATGAATTATCAAAAGTCTTTGGCTATTCCTCGATAGGTGAAGAAGAAATTTTCACTGTTCTTTCATTTTTGATGTCTCATAAGTACTCGAAAAATTCGGTTGAAATAGTCGATGCAATTTGGGCGAGTCAACACTTTGAGTTTTTTAAAGAATATATAGAAAAGATCGAGAAATTGTCATGTAGAATATCAACAGCTGACTTTGAGAAAGACGTAGAGAAGACACAAAAAGAGATCAACAATTACGTCGCAGAAAAGACAAGAAATTTAATTCAACAATTGATACCCTCTGGATTTATTAATTCGTCAACTGCTGCGATCTTAATTAACACAATTTATTTCAAAGGGACTTGGTCCGAGAAATTTGATGTTCTTCCAAATAAAATGAAATTTGGGAACAGCCAAGAAGTCACCATGTTGTCCAACAAAGTGTGTTCGGCTGCAGTGTTCAGTAATGAATACACTGCTTGTTGTTTGTCATATTCAGATACCAACAACCAAATTGCATTTGTTATGCCAAATGATATCGAAAAGTTCGAAAAGGCACGAGAGGGGGAGATCTATGAAATCATGAGGTCTTTATCTCAAAACTTCCCAGAAAAACGGTCTGTCACGTTCCCAAAATTTTCAGTTGAAAGTAGTGTTAATATGGTCCAACAATTGAGGAAACTTGGTCTGAATTTACCATTTTCTTGTGATGCAAATTTCTCGAAAATGGCGAAAGGGAAAATTTTATGTGTCTGATGCAATTCATAAAGCCGTTGTTAAGGTCGACGAAAATGGAACAGAGGCAACAGC